CCAACAAACATTGATGACCTAGAGTTGCCACTGATTATATATATAAACACACACATACATACATACGTACACAAGTAAATAAATAAATAGCATTTCTCCATACCATTTCCATTATTTGTATGTATACATATGGTCTGTCTTTTTACACTGAGCATTTTTTTAATAATTATAAATATTTGTACATGTTTAGTTTATAGTAAATTATATATATATATATATATATATATATATATATATATATATATAAATATATAAAAATCAGCATATCAAACATGTGGACCTTTACAAGCACACCTGTGACCCGCACAAAGGATACTAATTTGGTCATTTAATGGCCAAAATTGTAGTTTTTATAATTTAAAAATTAGTATTTAAAAAAATAAATCATGTTTGTTACATTTTCATTTATTTGAATAGAATATCAAATAAGAATACCTTTTACCGCATAAATTTATTTAAAATAATTTTAATATTATCGACAATCTTTATGTTACTATGGTACTAAGCTATTATTCTAAAAATTGTAGCAAATATTCAATATTCATGGTGGCTGAGAAAATAGCATGGGAACAAATTCTCTCATAGTCATGCCATCAGCCATCAAACCCCAAAAACAACATGGCAACTCATTAACAGAAAACTCTTTCAAAATTTCAAAAGTTTTTGCTTTTAAAGATGAAATGTCAGTCAAAACAGTTTTAGAGGCATTATCAAAATTGCTTTATCTCTTTTTACTGTTAGATGTAGTTTCAATGTTCCAGTAATTTTTTAGATTCCACATCATCAAATTTTGGAAATTAGTTTTTTGTTTTTTTCCTACTACTTCAACACTAAAATTGATAGTGCTCCTCCAGCTAAGAGAAAAAGGAAATTGAACGAAGAAGGGCGAATGTTTCAAGAAAAGTGGGAATTACTGTATTTTTGCACAACGGTGAATGAAATTTGTAAAAACTCCATTGCCATGCCAAAAGCATAAAACCTGAAAAAACATTATGAAACAAAGCATCTATCTTATGATAAATATGTGCGTTTCAAAACTCAAGGAAATGAAGGCTAACTTGACACAGCAACATACCTTTTTTATGAAAACTCAGAAATAGAATCTCACTTGCATTACTGCAAGCTATGAAGTCAGCCGAATAATAGCCACAAGTAGGAAATCTTAGAGTGAAGGAGATTTCATAAAGTCTTGCCTTGTAAAAACAGCTGAAATTGTATATACAGAGAAAGTACACTTATTCAAAGACATTTCATTAACCAGGAACACTGTTGCTGAATGGATTGATAAAATTTCAGGTGATTTGAAAAAACAGTTGAAGGCTGTATCATCAAGGTTTGAACATTTTTCTATTGCTATTGATGAGACCATTGACATCACTGGAATGGCACAACTTGCAATCTTCATCAGGGCCTGTGACAGTGAATTTAATATTTATTAAGAACTGATTGAACTGGTCCTCATGCATAACACTACAACAAACCAAGACATCTTTGAGAGAGATGTGCAAGTTCTGCATGAGTATAGTTTTTATTTGAGTAAACTTGCATGCTTATCTACTGATGGCGCTGAGAATATGGTTGAAAAACACAATGGTGTTGTTGCTAAGTTACAAAGAAAACTAGAAAACTCGCATACAGATTCATCATTTGCACATTTTCCTTTCATTTTCATCAGCAAAATTTGTGTTCAGAAATTTTAAACTTGGATCATGTGCTTAGCTTGCTCACAAAGACAGTGAACTATATCAGAGGCCATGATCTCAACCACTGTCAGTTCAGTCAGTTGTTGGAAGATAGGGATAATCAGTTCACTGATGTTCCATTCTACACAGAATTCCACTGATTGTCATGTCACAAAGTGCTGAAAAGATTTTATTTGTTGAGACAAGACAATTATGTTTTTGGAGATGAAAGATCAAAACACAGATGAAATAATAGATGAAAGTTGGTTCCAAGATCTGGCTTTTACTGTGGATATTACTGCACAATTAACTGATCTTAATTTGAAAGTACAAGATAAAAACTTACTTATCACTCAGTTATATGATAACATCAAGTGCTTCATTACAAAACTAAGCTTATGGAAATCATAGTTGTCAAATGAAAATTTAGTTAATTTTCCTACGTGCAAAGAGCTGAAAAACACTGCCTATACCGAGACTGTACTTAGCTTTGACAGTCACTTGGAATTGTTAAAGAAATTTCAGAAAAGATTTAGTGATTTCTCATTTTTTGAACATCAATTTGCATTATTCTCAGCATCATTCACCTTTGATGAAACTATTAGAAATGGAGTTGGATTCTACACTCAGAGCAAAGTATCTTGAAATGAGAATACTTAGGCTCTTTTCATACCTTCCTGAAAAGTTTAAAAACTTCAGAAAATTTGTCACAAAGATTATGTCAATGTTTGGTTCTACCTATCTATGTGAACAGTTATTTGCCTTCATGAAATCAGCAAAAACTTCTCAGAGAACAAGGCTAACAGATCAACATCTGTCATTTTCTGTTCAAAGTCAGAACTGCGCAGACATTTCAGCCAGACATAACAAAATTGTCAGCAAAAAGAGGTGTCAAGTCACAGGATAAAAAATTAAAACTGACTGAATAGTGGAAAATAAATGTTCAGTTTTGAACTGTTGTAATTTTTGTACAATGTATTTGTTGCTGTTGCAAACTGCTAATATATGTTGTTTAATTTTTTTTTTTTTTTTTTTTTTTTTTAAATCAGACTACTTCATTACTTTGTATACATGAATCATGCTAAAACATTTGTATGCACATTGTGTGTTTCTAAATTTAAGTAACAAAAATATTCTACAATAAATTTTATTAAATGACGTCAATTAGCTGTAATGTGCACAATTGGTTGTCATGTGGCCCTCAAGACAATACATGTGACCATTTATCCCTCAGGGGACCCTCGGTTTGACATGCCTGTATAAAATGGCAAGCTGCTCATTTCCAAGCCTATCTGCTAGGATGGTTAGCTAATCCTTGTTCCTCAGGCAAATTTATATTTCTTCAACATACACAGAGACAACCTGTTATTTTTAAAAAAAATAATATTCACTCTGTACAAGGCCCGAGAGTCATTTGCAATAGAGGGTTATGTAAGGAAAAGGCTTTATAAGGAACTTGAAACACAATCCTAAAATGGAAACAAGACATAAACCACTACTCCTGTTCAAAAAAACTGGGGAAATATGTGAATGGGATGATAAGCAAATCTATTTACTTTTATTGAGAAAAGAAAAAGTAATTCCATAGTAAATAAAAGCTTTAGGTGGATACATTAGAAATATAGCATTGAAGTAGACTTTAAAAGGAACCAGAAATCCAACCCTAAACAGCAAACAAGAGATAGACATCTACTCCTGTTCAAAAGACTGGGGAGAAGTGTGAAGTGGATGATATGCAAATATATCCATTCTTATTGAGGAAAGAGAATAGGAGGAGTCAGTTACATGCAGGAGTGTCAGACTTGGTAGTGAGTCACACCTACAGGAGATGTGTGCAAAGATATGATACCAAGTGTATATGTCTTGTCTACTCAGAAATCAGAGCAACAAAACTTCTTGAGTCATAAACATTGTATCAGTGTAAGACCTCAGGTACAAAGACAAGCTCACTCATATATGAGGACTAAAAGACCGACTGGGAGAAGGCGCATGACATAGGTTGCTTGGAGGTACATCAGCATCCCCTATCCCCATTGGATTTAATATTAACTTGAAAGTAAAATTAATTTGACAGGAATTACTTTTAGTGGTCTAGGGTTGGTGGGGGTCTTCATCTAGCACCTGCATTACATGAGTTAAAGTTACTTACAGAAATGACTATGGCATTAACTATATTAAGTTTTAACTTTGTATAAGTCAAAATATCCCTTATCAGAATAAAGGTAAGAGGGGAATTAAGATTGGCCTTATCACACTGAAAAAAAAATTCAAATTAATAAAAGATCACATAGTTTACATGTTGTAACTATACTGAATGGATCTGTTATACCTTCTGGGAGAGGGCACAAAATCTAGGATAATCTGTAACTGAACATCACTCATATTCTCAAACACTGAGTCATAACAACAACATTTTATATATATATATATATATATATATATATATATATATATATATATATATATATATATATACACACACACAGAGTCCCCTCCAAAAGTATTGGAATGGCAAAACCAATTCTTTTGTTTTGGTTGTTCACTGATGACATTGGGTTTAAAATATTTGGTATTTACAGTTCAATCCATTAATAAACATCATATTCTTAAAATATAGGTTTTTTCAAATAGTTGTATCACATACAGAAAGAAGATATGTCATCATTCTCAAGTTCAAATTTTATCAAAATTTGAGTCAGTTAACCAATTATAGAGAACAAAATATTATTTGAGCTAATCATAGAGAACAAAAAAAATCAAATCCAAACAAGCAATGAGTTTTTTCAAGTGCTGTCAGATATATTAAAGTTTTGAAAATGCCAAAAGTCAAAGATGAACAGATGAAAATGATGGCAAGACAAATGTGCTAATACAAAACTGGCTCAAGAAGGTTTTTACATAAATTCAATTTAAACAAAAATATCATTTTGATACTGGTTTATAGATTCAGAAATAAATTAGTAGACTATCTAGGAGGATTAGTATGAATAATCTACAAGAAAAAGTAATATACAGATCTAAATGAAGCTTTAAAATACATTTCCAAGTTGAACCAATGAAGTTTGTAATCAGTGCATGACAATCTATAATTCATATGAAATTGTTCAATTAGAACAGAATTATCAATGCAGAGATTTATTGCTAATAATAAAAGGTAAAATATAAGTTGACTGAAAAGGACAATTTTAGTGGATGTACAGCAATTTCTCAAAGTAACAATAGTTCAATAAAAAAAGAAATTCAGGCCAAAATATATGGTGCTTACTTTCATACATGAATTGGAAAATATAAAGAAAATTAAAAAATCAGTTCACTTACATTGACTTCTTTCAAATCTTTATTGGCCAGCTGAGTCATTGGGTCCAAGAAGTTCTGTTTGACATTATCTTCAAGAGCATATTTTACCTCTGCAAGATCTTTGAATGCTTCTCCAGCCTCCACAAGACAAGCACCTGGAGAGGAAAAATGAATGAATTCTTATGAAATAAAAATGAAATAAAAGTAAACCAATAAAATGCAATTATATGTGTGTATATATATATATATATATATATATATATATATATAAAAACATTGATGGAACCAATGGACAACTTGCCAAAACCTAAAACTCTTATCCAGATAAAGTCTTGAAGAAAAACAATAATAGTGAAAAAAAAAAAGAAAGAAAAAAGGCCTAAGAGTAAACTACTCAGTGTAAAGTGCTCAAAGTTTAGATTGAGCAAGAAATGCTCAACAATGTTAGATCCTATGAAAGGATAGCTCTAGTTTTAACTTAAGTTTCATGATCACACAATCCTCAGATTACTTGAATGGAACTTTAATTTAAATTCATACCAGTTTAGTACAGGTATACTCTTAAGTGAATACCTGAAAAATGTGTGTTTGTATAACTTATTTTTTATGATGAGAAGTAGTCAATAAAATTATACTATTTCCATATTAAGAAGGAGATAAGAAACTGAAAAATTATTTTTCAGTTTTTCACCTAATTTTTCTTCAATATACAAATCAAACATACTGAATGTCATACTACGGATTCATTATGGGTTTTGACCAATCTATATTATAGTAATTTTTCTGCAGAGATGTTGTTCATAAACCAAGAAAGCAAGCAGGTTACATTCTTTATTCATGAGATACTACTAGAAGACCATTTTCCATCAAAACCAACATGCCATTATTCTTTTAATTAAAATCCAATATGACAAATAAAAAAGAATAGTAGACAATAAACATATGAGAAGTGAAATCTCTACTTGTTGCTATCCATCAGTGTACATTCCATTCATATCATGAATCAAGATTCCTTTATATACACTATTACAGGAAATTAATGTAAAAAGCCAGAAATAATTCCCTGTGGATTTTTTTTTAACATTTCACAGAAAATGATTCATTAGTTAATTGATACTAATAAAATTGACCTCTAAACTTTCAAATTCCAAATTTATGATGAAAAATGACACAAATATTGAGTCAGGCATTTTACTTTATTTCCTTTAAATCTGGAATAATCAAGTATTTTATGTCCATCAAAAACTGAATGTAGGAATGTAATGTTAAAGATACTTGACATATGTGGAAGTAAATGGACATGAAATCATAAAATCCTAGAATTGATAGTAATGAGATAATATTTTTTCCCATTAGTTCAGAAATATTTTATCTGCTCAATCCATCACCTAATTACACAGACTGTCAGGCAAAATAAAAAAAAAAAATAAAAAAAAAAATAAAAAAAATCAATGTTATCTCTTGAGTGAACATTTATAATTTCAGGTAAAAATTAATCTAGCCTGGCAGTAGTAAATGAGGTGATAGGTGTCAAATTTATGACTGAAAAGCTAACCTTTTGCCAGCATATCAAGTGGAAGGAGATTCTAATAAAGTTAAACTGTAACAATTATAAACATGGGGGGACAATTATAGTTAATAATACATTTATTCCAAGCCCTCTTTTCTCATTATGTGCCCTGGAAATTTTAACTTCTCTTCCTGATGCTAAGTTTCCTTTCTGTTTCCATTTTTTCTAAAACCTCGTTGTTGCTCACATGTTCAGTCTATGGTAACATCAGCATCCTTCTGTAGAAGCACATTTCTTTTGCTTCAAGTCTCTTCTTCATCTGTAAGGGGGATTGCCCAGGATTTATTGCCATATAGGAGGACTGATATCATGTAACAGTTCAATTCTCTTTTTTTGTTTCTAACAAAATTTTTCTCTTAAAACTCTGCTTAATTTTTGGAAGGCATCTTTGGTTATCCCGATATGCTTTCGGGTTTCAGTGTCACACTTTTTGACCTCTGTTAAAACACTTGCCAGATATTTAAATCTTCGTACTTACTTGATTTTGGTATCTCCAATTTGTAATTTGCATGTTGAACTCTTCCTTTTGTTAACAAACATACATTCTGTCTTCTTGCAATTGATGTTCAGTCCTTTCTTTTTGCTTTCCTTCATTACCTTCTATAGGAGTGTTTGTAGTTTTCTGTGTCTGCTATCAACACTGTCATCTGTATATCTTATGCTGTTAAGATTAACAAATCCTGGTAGGAATTCTAATTCTCTCAGAATTGCCTCACTGTATAAGTTGAATAATTTCAGTGAGAAGACACATCCTTCCTTTCTATTTTTGCATATCTATTGAACTCATTTTCTATCCATATACAGGCAAGAGGGACAGAAAAAAACAATGCATAACTTAGTGAGCTTGAGAAATGATGCAGAACAACGTTTGAGATAACAAAAAAAAAAGACCAAATTTATTAAAAATTACAAAGGACAAGAAACTGTGGAGAGCTATGATCACCTATACCCTGAAGAGACACGGCACAGAGAATTACTATTTGTAAATAATTTTACTGACAAATTTGTAAAATATTTTTTAAATAATTTCATGACAAATGTTTCCTGAGATTGTATGAGTATACACACAACACAGAAACTAATGTATCTAACAAAATTTCGCAATAAAATGGTTTTGCTTTGTTACACGAAACTTTTGTTATTCAGATTTATAAAATATTAGCCTTATTAATAGGTAAATAAAGAGAGTACTAAGATTACAAAGCCATGGACAGCATTGGTAAAAAGGAAGTTAATAGCATTTTGCTTATCATTAGATGATAATGCCCAGATAGATTAAAATTGTATAGCATTTTTCTGAAAATAAATATTCTCAAGTTATACATTATATGCAGTGAAGTAATTAAGCACAAGTTCATTAATATAAAAATCTTTTCTCAATCACACATGTACATCACTAAAGATGTATTTTAGCAAATCTACTTTGATAACATATACTGTCTTGAATTGTAATCTTTGTGGATTCACTGAAATGTAAAAAGAAAAAAAAAGTTTGTAATCAAGAAGCATGGATGATTTTTATGACTGGAATCTTGATAAAGAATTTTTTTTTTTTTTTACAAAAAAGACATGAATTCAGAAAGAACAACTAAATTTACCCCAGGCAAGTTAGTTTGGTGTCTCATAAATACTGAAGATCAGTGTACTCCACCTACCCATGCATTACCTTACACTTCTGCTCACTTTAGTTGAAGTGAAAGATGATGTCCTTCAGTATTTCAGAGATGTTCAATTTGTGTGTAAATCAAGAGATGAGAATCATATTTTACCTGTTATTGATTAATAGCAAGAAAATTTTCTCTTGCCACAAAAAGCCTAACCAGGTAAGCAAACAAAATTAGCATAGTAAATCTAAATTAGCCTCTTATGAATGAGATCTGAACTATATTTATCATCATACAGTTTCAAGCATAGAAACAACTTCATAGGATTAAGGCTAAAAAAATACTTTCATAGAATATAATAAGATTTATTTCTAGCCAAATCTCATCCGTACAAGAAACGTTCAATATGATATATTTTTGACTGGTTCTGCCTTCAGTTTTAGTTGCTTTTAAATATTGTTCTATGACTTAAATAAGCATCAGAGAAAGAAAATAAATGAGTTTCTGGTGAAAGCTAAACCTGGTCTCCCCTCCTTATTAATGAGATAGTCCATTGTTATGCTAACAGAGATTCCAGTTGAAAGATGCTTCATGTTACCCTAACAATGAGACCAGGTTATTGATACATTACTCTTTATTTCTTTTGTTTTGTGTAAGCTTTCTTTGGATATATTTTTTCCTTTTAATAAATGGAGAAAATAAAATAAGTAAAAAAGTTTAAACTACAAAAATATAGTTACATATATGAATAAATTAAAAAAAAAAAAAAAAAAAGTCTCTTACAAGTTCTCATTTTTATTCTCCAGTAATTTGAAAGAATTATAGAGCACCAATGCTCAGGTGTCCTCAATTCACCAACAATTAATATCACTATCTCAAATGGATAAACAAGCTGTCTGCTGAAAATTGTGTTAGACAAAGCTCAATAATTATACAATAGCAAATGGAATGTTATTTAGTTTAATATTAATGAAACATTAAACAAGATAATGCTAAGAAACAAAGTTTTCAGTATTTTATAAGTATTATGCAAATACAAAATTTTATAATATTGTCATCATTTTTTAACAAAGCAAAAGAATCTTGAAACAGTATATCTGTAACATGTCAAGACAGAAAATATAATATGTATCTGGAGGGTGTATAGGTAAATGAAGATGATATATGTAGTACAACAGTACATATCATTGAGCAGAAGAGACTTTTATTGAATTTGGCTTTTCCTGAATTTTAGCACAATCAATGAAATGCTGTAAGATTTCAGATGGATAATAAAAGAAAGAACCGTATTGGGTTGTGACAGTCAGGATCAGTTGACATTCAGCATTTCTATCTGCTCGCTAAATATTCTGATTGGTCAAGCTCATGAATGTAAGAACTTTTACAATATCAAATAACAACTTGAACTCCTCTTTTTCTAGCAAAGATTAAACTTGCTTACATATCAGTCAAGATTTGCAGACAACAAAACAAACATTAAAGCTTACTGTCAACAGGTTTCTTTTTTTTTTTTTTAAGATTTACATTTTAGTCATCATGTTTCTTTTAGCATGAGAGGATGCTGAAAAGTTCTCAGCCTGATCCACTTTCTACAATATAACCAAACATCTTTGTCAGTCTGAGAACTTTTAGGCAGACAATCATACTGACTGAATCCAATAAGTGTAATGACCATTATATAGGAGATCAATTGTACATACAGTGTCTACACAAACATACTTCATATACAAATTTTTTCCTATAAATTCAATCTCATATATATATATATATATATATATATATATATATATATATATATATATATATGTAGATGCATCAATACATGCATAGCCCTAAACATGAAAAAACATTTATTATATACAAAATATATTTTTTTCAATACTCTTACTTGCCAATGTACTTAATCCAAATTTTGTCCATAAAACATATTGATAAACATGACACAGTGGAAATTTCAAATCAAAATTCAGATTTTACTTGA